TATATATATATATATATATATATATATATATATATATATATATATATCAAACATTTATATTTGCCTCTATCTTCGAAAAATTATAGCTGTACTTTTCATTTTTTTCATGCTCCTTGTCCTCAATTCGGAAAATCAAATATTTATGTTATAAAATTGTTTTAACAGTTGATGTGACGAATTTTTTTTTCTTTTACTGTATTGCAATGTCCTCGGATACAAGGCTGTTATTTTGAGTGAAAATATTGCTTCATTGAAAATTATTATACTTAGTATTCATAATTTAAAAAATTAAAAGTATTCTGAGTATATACAACGCATTCTAGTGTGAAATTAAATTTTTAATATCTGAAATCGCTAAAACCGACTGCTCAATAGAATTTTTAATTTATGATGTTGAAATATTACTGGAACCACAGTTTAACTCACCATAACCATAACTATCAGCTTTCAATTATTAAAAATGTTTAGAATGTTTAATTTAAAATTAAAAATTGTTGATTGATTTTCTGAATCGTTTGAAACGTTCTCTTAATAAGAAAAAAAAATCTGGAAAACGGTTGACCCTAAAGGCCATCCCTGCAACTTTCCGCCAATTCCATACCTAAACGCTTGAAATTGCACTTACGACGTTTCTGAACTCTTCGAGCTCAAAAAAACAATTTATGTGTTATTTTAAGCTCTCCGAGCTCAAAGAAATAGCTTTTGTATGCCTTTGAGCTCTTCGAGCTCAAAAGTCTGATAGAATTTCTAAATGAATGAATCGATTTTCATGCGGTTGGCAAAAATTCACGCAGTTTTTTAAAATCTATGATATACTTTTGAACACAAACTGATCGAACCGAAAATCTTAGAGAAATTTGAAAAATTCACTTTTTCCGAATTTTTTCGACAGCGATAACTCACGAACCAAACAACCAATTTTCACGTTCTTGGTGGCGATCGACGTGATTTTTTGGGCTCTAATAATTATTTTATTTTGTCAAAAACGATCCGAAAAGAAATGTCGAAGTTATGTGAAAAAAACACTTTTTTCGAAATTTTTCGTTTTCGATAACTCTCGAACGCATAAACCGATTTTGATGGGACTGGTGGCAATCGACGTGGTTTTTTAAGCTTAAGAACTGATTAGTTTTTGGAATTGATCGGTCAAGCCGTTTAAAAGTTATTAAAAAAAAAAACGGTTTTTTGAAAATTTTATTTTCGAGATTTCTCAAAATCTAGCGAACCGAGTCGATTCAAATTCTCACGAAATTTAATGGCAATGATACTCTTTGGAACGCCACCTATTTTGATGCGATCGGCTGAGCCGTTCAAAAGTTACAAGAGGTTTACACACACACACACACACACACACACACACACACACACACACACACACACACACACACACACACACACGGC